CTTGTTGATCTTTCTCAGCATTTCATTAAATTTTTTGGTGAGTAAAGTAAGAGACTCACTCAAGTCCTCATCTTCATCGATCTCATCTTTGGTGGACATATCATCATAATCTGCATTAAGAGCAATGCCTCTACTTTTCTTTTTAGCCTTAAAGTTCATCTCAAAGGTTTGAAGATTACCTATGAGTTCATCAAGTCTCATCTTCTCCACGTTTTTTGCTTCTTCAATGGCTGTCACTTTGTAAGCAAAACGTGTCGGAAGTGATCTCAATGTCTTTTTTACCAATTTGGCGTCAGAATATTTTCCTCCAAGGGTGAAGGCTTCGTTGGCAATATCACAAAGCTTTGAGTTGAAATCGGCAATGCACTCATCCTCCTCCATTCGTAAACGTTCAAAGCGAGTTGTGAGCATTTGAAGCTTTGAAGCCTTCACAGTATCCGTACCTTCATGCGCAGTTTGAAGAATGTCCCAAGCTTCTTTTGTGGTTTCACACGTAGAAATCAATTTAAATTGATTAACATCCACAGCATTGAAAATGGCGTTCAATGCTTTTGAATTACTGTTTGCTAGCTTGTCCTTATCACTGGACCATTTCTCTTATGGCTTAGGGACGGTATTACCTTCATCATCTTTAGTTGTTGGATGAGTCCATCCGGTTAAGATAGATCGCCATGCCTTCTCATCAATAGCTTTAATGAAAGTTTTCATGCGAGCCTTCCAATATGGGTAATTGACACCTTCCAGAAACGGCGGTTTGTTCACAAATCCTCCTTATCTCAAGACATCCATTCCTGCAGAATTAACCAATACACTAGGACCTCACCGAAATACACGTCAGTGACCCGCTCTGATACCAATTGTAAGTACCGGTTTTAGTCTTTTAACAATTTATAAGACAATATGAATAATGCAGAAACATTAAATAAAAGAACACGAGAGAAATAGTATCGCGGTTCGGTAACACCCTACTCCGCGGGGCCACGCCTAGATGATGAACAATCCACTAAGAACTCTTTTACAATTCAATCAGACTTAACCTACCCGAGACTCCCTCTCTAAGAAGACGCCTATGAACTTGCAATTTCCTAATGGACTTGAACAGCGAGATCCCCTCGACTTTTTAACATTGGAATCCTTCCAACTAAGTTTTTCTCCCAAAAAATACTCAATACAAGTGCTCTCCCCTGTCTCACAACCCAGTAAAAACTCATCAAGAGACGTACAAAGACTTAAGGAACACTTTCAATAAATAAACAAGCTGTGAATAGCTTGACACATATTCAATTAATTCGCTGAACCACATCTGTTGCAAATCTTGTTGCAACAACACTGCAACATAGTTGTTACGGCCAACTTTTTCAAAACCAGACGAATCAATCTTCTTTAATTCTGAAATCTTCCCAAAACTGATAAACGAACTTGGACACGTTCTTAGGCAACATAGGAAGATCATCCAGCTATGAAATCTCAATCAAGAATCAATCAAATCAATTTTCCATCTTTGAATCAATGGTTGACTTAGAAAAATAGAAACTAAAACAAGTTTCTGGATTTTTTGAAACCTGCCAAAAGAAACTTGCCAGCTGCATAGACATTTCCAAACGCAATCATCCCAGCAAAACATTCTCAAAATAATGCCAATCAAATCCGATTACAATCAATACACAAATTGGGAAACAAATCCCAACAGGTTTTAATCATAGTGATTTGAATTACAATTCAAACCAGTGTTGAGATACGTAAATATATTGTAGTTTAAATTAGAAATAAAATCCGAATTACTTTTGGATAAAGTGTTGAAAACTGTTATTTGAGTTTTGTGATAAATTTTACAAAATCTCATTGTAAATGACATTAAAAAATATGCAATATGGATGAGGATTTGTTCCTCTCTTCATTTTGAACACATTGAAAAAAAATCATCTCAATCGGAATTGAAATGAAAAAGTTATGACATTTTTAAGTTTATAGTTGAGGAGAGAGAAAAAATAAAATATGAATTGTTTTAACAGTAGAAAACAATTCGCTCCATGTTTGGTTCAACTATTTGAATTAAACAATTCAAAAATTCAAATTGTGTTTAAAGGTTCAAATTAGTGTTGTTTTAGAAATAAAAAGAGACCATTGAAACTATCAACTAAGATTCAAATGGTAGATTTTAGAATTCATACCACCCCTAAAATTCACAATCTGAATTGTTGACAAAAATTCAAGGACAATTTTTTTCCCTCTTTCTTAAACTTTAAGCTTAAAAATGTCATAATTTCTTCGCTTTAAGTCCAATTAAGATTATATTTTCCTTACATGTTCATAATGAAGAGAGGAATAAATCTCAACAGTTTGGATTTTATAATGAGGTCTTATAAGATTTGTTACAAAATTATAATGGCAATTTTTAACACTTTATCTAAACACATATTGGATTTTATTCTTAATTCAAATCACAATTTATTTGCATATCCGAACACCGGTCGAATTGTAATTAAAATCACGACAATTCAAAGGGTCCTTTCATGCTGTCAGGCACTTTTTTTCGACACTGTGTCAGGAAATACGATAATTTGTGAAATCTTACGTTAGAACTTGCAAACCCAAATGACAAAGTTGTAAACTCGAACGATACTTTGTGAAATTTTAAATTTTACGATAAATCGTTCGAGTTTGCAAGTTCTAACATAAATTATCGTAAAATTCAAATTTCACAAATTATCGTAACTTTGACAACTTTATCATTAGAATTTGTAAGTTTTAACGTAAAATTTCATAAATTATAGTATCTCTCGGCACGGTGTTAGGAATATTCCCCCTAGTAACATAACGGAATCCTAATTCAAATTACCATAACTCAAACCAAATCAACAATTTGAGTTGTTGAACCAAACAAGGCCTCAGATTGTTAGAATATAGCGGATAAAAATTCTAAAGTGAAATGTTTAAACCATTGTTAATAATTTGAATTGTCCGTATTTAGTTCTCTCCTAAACATCAATCTAATGTCGCATTTACCAAACCGTAAAGGAATGTAATAGGAAACGAATGGAATTGGAAAGAAAAGTAAAGTAATAGGATTAAAGGTCATTCATTCCCTTCAAGTGTTTACTTGACTATTAAATGGTATAATGGAAAACAATTTTGGGCCCGTTTAGTTCGCTGATTTGAGTTTTTAATTCGAGTTTAGATTTGACTTTATGTAAGATCTTTTTATTGTAGTAAAAAAGTTAGATGTGACTGTTTCTGAGAGCTTTTTACTGTAGCAAAACTCGAATCGGTGAAATAAGTGGGGCCTTCATTCCCTTTTTATGTTTATTAAAATTAGGAATATCAATGTTATTAATGTAATCACTAAAATATCTTTTCTTTTACACAATTTGATAATCATTAATTATTTAATAATTCATTAATGGTAGATAAGTAAACTTAGTATTTATTCTCTTTGATAGGGAATTAATATTAAAGAGGGTGTAAAGATTGACATTCTCTTTCTTTATTCTCTTTATTATGTGAGGCTCACTAAATCTCTATTAATTAGTAAACAAATAAATGAGAATCAATCCTCACTTTTCTTTTCCTTCGATGCAAAGTAAATATACCTTAAATCACAACTATTTGAATTCAATTGTTTGATTTGAGTCGTTGAAACATGCATGGAATAAACAATCTTCTGTTTTTTCGCCCAAAAGAATAAAAGCACTAATTTACATCTACCCTCCTTACAACACATGCTACACAGCCCTCAGCCCATATAGGCTTAGTTTGGTAGTGTTGTAGAGTTTAGAAAAATTGTTTTTAATTGTGCTGAAGGAAGAAGCAGCTGAGTATTTGGTAAACTGTAATTATAGTAGTTGTACTGGTTTGAAAATCAGTGTAATAGTGTTTGATAAATTTTGATGTTGAAATGCTGTGGGTATGTAAAATGACCAAAATAAACATAGTATGAAACTTAAATATATATAATTATTTTTTGTATTTAAAAATACTTGTTTAACTTAAAAAAAACATAATGCTATGATTTTGAGTTTTTTAACAATAAATTTATGATAATTAATTTTTTTTTTCATTTCTTCATTCACAATATAGTTACAACTAAAAAGAGCATTAGTGAGTAATCAACTTGTTGCAATTTGATCTCATACTTCATTCATTTATTGTGATAATAAAAAACTAGTATTTTGATTTTCTTCTGCATTATCCTCAAGTTGATTGTCTTTATAAACGATACCATCTGGATCCACCTCAAGGAGTATGAGACTTGAGGCCATGTCAACGACGTAAAAGAGCAAATGAGACAAACTGCAGATATTGGCTTAGTTTGGTAGAGATTTTGGGAGCCCAAAATGAATTATCTACCTAGCTAAAGTATCAAAAGCAAAGATTAGATTATAGAGGAATTATAACGGATAATCACTACCGTAATGATCGAACTAAAGAACAAGTATGCTATTCCTATACGCCAGTTTTTTAAAACTATCAAAACCGTTTTCATTTTAGCCTTCCATTCTTCCATTTCCCATTTCCCATCTCCATACCATTCTTCCTATACTTCTTCACACTCAATCAAAACCAAGTAAAAGACAAAAAATGAAAAAATGAAGATCATTGTTTTATATGCTGCCATGTAAAGATTTACACAATTCTAAGGATATAAACAAGCAGTAAAATGAAGATTGGTCTCACACAACCCAATCAAAACGCATACACATCTAAAAAGAATATAAGAAAACAGATTATATCAACAATCAAAGAGACACCTAAATTCCAAAAAAGAAAAAAAAAAGAAAAAGAAAAAGAAAAGCAAAGAAACAAAGATCATCATATTGCAAGAAATTTATTTACATAGTTCTACTCCAAAGGACATATCAAGAAACAATTAAAGAAGATTGGTCTCATACGAACCAACCCCCCAATCTAATAACCTAAACATAGTTCAATGCTCCAATCACAGCACCACATCTAAGAAGTACCGTGTCAATAACTCTGACTAAATCTTGAAGTGAAGCCGATTAGAAACTGTGCTTGAAACCCAGACAATGCTTGCCGCGAACAGCACCAGGCCTCACAAACAAATACGGCGACTTCTTGGAATTGGACATCTTCTTGGTAAATCCCCTTTTCCCCAACTTCCTCATTCTCTGTCTCCCGAATTTCCCGTTCACCGACCACGGAACAAGCTCGTCGTTCAAAGCATACGCATCATCATCATCATCATCGAAATCACCATAGCCATCATCAAGAAAATGAAGGCCTTGGGGTTCGATTGCAATTTAGTCGTTTACAGGGGAAGATCCAAACCCATTATCTTCATCTTGGTGATCTTTTTGGTGTCGTTTTTCTTGTTTGGGCTCTTCAGAGTCGTAGTCGTCGTCGGCGTCTGAGGCGCTGATGAGTTCCCAGTGTGAGAGAGACTGAGACCGAGACCGAAATAGACCCAAATCATCATCTTCTTCAGATGATGATGATATTTCCAAGAAGTCGTATTCGTCTTCGTCGGAGAACAGAGACGCCATTGAACTCTTCTTGTCCATTCTCTTCTTCTTTGCTTGTGATTTGATTTGATTTCTGGTTCGGTGGTGATGGAGGAGAACGTGGAATTAGGGTTTGGAGTGAGCAAAGAAGGGATTTTAGGGAAGACGCGGTTGGGGGGAGAAAGGAGAGAAGAATGGCCATGACAGAATGAGGATAGTTTCTTTCATGGTTGTAGAAAAATTTTGGAGGCAGGCAGACAAATGGGATAGTTTGGGAATTAATGAAATTTTTATTGAATGAAACGGGATTCCCGCACAATCTAGAATCAGAAGCAGCCTTTCGGTTGCTTCTGATTTTGAGCCTAAATTTCATAAAAATTATTTAAAAAGTATTTTTTGGGTCTTTTACTAAACACAAAAAATAATTTTAACTAGAGAATTCATTTTTGGTTCTCAAAATCTCTACCAAACTAAACCTAAGCCTAAGTCAATGATTGCATGAGGGAAAAAAAGCGGGAGAGCAGCAAAATGCAAAGTCAAAACAAAAATTATGCAATAAACAAGTCTTTGGTAGTTATGCAAGAAACAAGTCATTGGTAGTTATGCAATTAACAAGTTTTTGGTAGATATGCACTAAATAAGTTTTTTTGTAGTTATGCAATAAACAAGTTCATAACAATAAACAACTGATTCAAATTTTTAATTCGAGTTTAGATGTGACTTTATGTGAGCTTTTTACTGTGGTAAAAAAGTTAGATATGATTGTTTCTGAAAACTTTTTACTGTAACAAAACTCGAATTCTAAACTCAAATCAGTGAAATGAACGAGACTTTAGCTCCACAAAAATGTACCTCATTCCGTAACCTTTGAAGCTCTCGTGTGGACACAGTACAAAGTGCCAAGCATAAGCTATTTAACTATTGAACTAATGTTTTCTTTTGTGCAGATTAATTTAACACAATGAAAATTAATCTTGAGTCCATTGAGTCTCAAAGTGTGAACGTTAATGTTAAGGAGATTGATGGACCGAGTTTTAATACTGAAACTCAATGCGAGCAACTACCGAAAAGAAAGAGGAAGCTGACCTCAAAAGTTTGGAGTCACTTATTTGTACCAGAGATTGGTTATATGGTGACAAAGGTGGTTTCAAACTAATTTAATTTATTCATATTTTCTAACTTGATTTTGAACTAAACTTGTATGTATATATACAAGGTTTTAAAAGGCGGAATCGGGCCTCGAGGTGTTTTGCCTTTACGAGGCGAGGCGTAAGCCTCGATAAATGCTTATAAAAAAATTGAAAAAAAAATAATAGTAATAAAAATTAAATTCATACTTAATAATCATTAAAAACAAGAAATTTAATTAAACATCCACATAAAGAAAAGTCTATTTCACTACTAGAAGCGTAAAAAAGACTAAATAATTATCAAATCCTAATATCATAAGATTCATAATGCACGTGAAGGAGAGGTGAGGTGCGAAGAAGAAGAAGAAAAAGGAGATCGGCTGTGCTGGCTGGTATGCTTCTTTTCTTAAGGTTTTTCTTACTCATTTCGGGCCTGATTACGTTGGGCCTTTTAAAACTGTTAGGCATGCATCTTTTGGGTTTAAAAACCCCCCAGAATCCTCATTCCAATGAGGCAGATGCCTCAATAACCGCCTGAGGTGCCGCTCAAAGGCTTGCGCCTCAAGTGGCTGAGGCGCACACCTCAACTCCTACCCTGTAAGGCATAGGAGTTGAGGCGCTTTTCGAGCGCCTTGCCACGAGGCGTGCCCCTCATGCACTTTTTAAAACCTTGTATATATATATTTTTTTCGTGTAGATTTCAATGAAGAGGTGGAGGATCTCACACAAGATATTTTAACTTTTAATTGAAAGATGAGGAACCTTTCTCATAGGGATCAACTTCTGTTGTACCTGATGATGTGACTCCCTTACTGCAGTAAATTATTTAACTGTTTAATGATTAATCATGTATGCTTATTTTCTAATTTGTGAGAGACTTTTATGTGTTTGTTTTAATTTTAAACTTAGATTATTTAATGTCTCTTTAGCATGTTAAATAGGTTGAGAAATAAATCTTTAAGTACAAACAGGTTGAGAAACATGTTTTATCACCCATTTTATAAACAAGTTCAAAAATAAGTTCAGAAATATATTAACACGACCCATTTATCACACATTTTATAAAACATATTCAAAAATAGGTTAACCCGACCCATTTATTACTCATTTTATAAACGGGTTGGTAGGTAATCAACAGGTTGACACGACACATTTACGACCTGTTTAATAAATTGATTAGTCGTGCTGTGTCAACCCGTTAATATACATGACGTGTTTGGATTTTGTATTTCGACACGAATAATAAATGGGTCGTGTTCATGTCAGGTCTAATCGTGTCAACTGAGGGGGTCAACACGATACGAACACGACCCAAATTGCCACCCCTAAATGGAGGTATAGAAGGATTGTGTGTGCTTTTTTTTTTCTTTTTTCAATTTAAATAAAATATAAAATCGTGAGCTCGAGTTGTGGCAGTTTAAACTTGTTTTTGTTTTAATTGTAAATTCTGAGAAAATATAAATTACAATTTGACATGTTGTTTGAATATGCAATTAAATTGTAAATCTGAGCATTGAATAAAGTTTGAATCTTGTCTTTAAATGTGTGTTGAAAATATGAATTTGAACAAATGGGTCTAGAATGTGTGTAATCAGGGGATGAATTCTGAAATATGTGGTTGTGGACAGGTTTGAACCAACTATCCAATTCGAATTTGGTTTCAAATGAATCTACCTTTTCTAACGTTAGTAGGGTGGGTTCTATTTTAAACTATAAGATTTACATAAAAGATCCGTTTGATTTGTTGATTCGAGTTTTTAATTTGAGTTGAGATGTTATTTTATGCGAGAGCTTTTTACTGTAATAAAAAAGTTAAATATGACTGTTTCTAAAATTTTTTATTGCAGCAAAATTTGAATCGGTAAAATGAACGAAGACTGTCATATTATACTTTTTCATTTTGATTAAATCTAATATTTACAAGCACCCACTGTCAATAGAAACCTCCTCACTATAAACAAGGAAATTGTGCACATTTTAATAAAAGTTTAGAATGAATATTGTGATTAACTATATTATCAATATCAAAGCAAGAGAAAGTTTGAGACACTTGCGGGTGTTTTATTTAAATACAATCAAAATTCAAATGTAATGCATCAGCAAATAAAATAAAACAAAAAAAGCAAATGAAATGGACAAAAACCAATCAACAAAAAGTTATGAGTGGTTTCACCAAACACTTTTCCTAAAGCTAAAAGTAGAAATGCCTTTCAACTGCTAAAAATTGCTTTGGTGATATTAATAGACTTCTACATATAATAATAAGCAAGGGAATAGCAAAAGAAATATTGGAGGATTTGGAGGCAGCTGAAGGAAATAAGAGCAACATTGAAAACCAAGTCATCTCTTCAAGCTTCTCACAATGAAAAATTTACATGACCTCCTTTCCCCTCTGTTGAAGTACAGTTCTGTGCGCAACTTCACCAGCCAAAGTAACAAAATAGGTTACCTGCCAGAAACAAAAGCATAATAAGTTGGTACTTAAGCATCAACTAGTGTGCAATTAAAGCATCTATCCTGGTACTGAACCAAAATTAGCGGCGGAAAAAATAACACTTACTAGCTCTAACGAGCCGACTCTGTGAAGCAGGAATCCGTCAATGACCTCCCTAGAAAACTCAACCCCAACAAAAGAGGAAAGTCAGGAAAAAGGTTGCAAAACCCATAGAAGAACAATACAAGAGAGACAGAATTTGTCTACCAAATTTAGTTTACCGCGTGACGTGGCGTATTCCTAATTTTATCTCTACGTGAGTGGAAATGTCTTTTTTCTTACAAAATTTTTACAATAAATTTGGTGGCACTAGTATTATTTGGAAGGCAGAGATGCACCTTCTAAATACCGTTCTTCCATTTGAGGAGGATAGGTAAGGTCCTTTGACATTTGAGCCTGGATTCTCGATGTAAGAAATGCCACCTTGTGTGCAATCCTGCCCACTTATGTATGCATTCTGGAAAAATGACGAGCCTGGAGTTGGTGTTTTCGTCTCATTTGGAACTTATTCAGATATCAAAATAAAAGAAAGCTAGGTGTGTGAACAATTTCACCTATGAATCTTGAATATAAGGAATTGCCATTTCTTACCACTTCGAATTTCATGAACGTCTGATGTAGAGTTTCAAAAACTTGGCTTGCCTCCATTTCCCTGTCCCAATCTTCACAGGCAATCAACGGGTGGAATCCAACAACAATGCACCTGATTTACAGAAGTAAATCTATACAGCCATTTAGAATGTCTTAGAATTAAAGTAGGCGCAGGTCTTATTCTAGAAGAATCAGCTAAACAGACATAATACTAATCTTAGAATGTCCAAACAGCTAATAAACATCGAATTTTACCAGTTGCCAATGGTTGCTTCCAGTGTTCTTGTCAGCCAATTTAATTGATTGTTTGCTGTGTCGTTTAATGGTTCCATGAGCACATCCTTCAAGTGTAAAATGAGTTCAAGTAAGCTAAACAGATAAAAATGACAGGCATAAGACAACAGTACCTATAATATAATCCAGACTCCTATTCACATCCTTCATTCGGAGGTGACTAGCTGATAATTATAAGAGGCAACAAACAACCTTATGCTCTCTTTGAGTACTCTTGAGAGCCAATGGGGATGACCTTTTAATGCAAACAATCATGACTCGTCGACATATTTTAATTGCCACGACCATTATAATTGATGAGAATCCATCCAAGGGAGTATGAATTGGTTTTGAATAAATATCTCAACTTGTATCCTACATGACCTTTGTGATGAGATAAAGCCTTCTGAACTCCTAATTTATCTTATACTTTGTAAAAACAGCCATAAACCTCGTCTTAATGTAACATATTAGAGAGCTCCGTTATCATCTTAATCTCACAACATTATCATATCTTCTATTCACTCTCTAAAATACACAATTTTATGTTTTTCTGCATGATGGAATCATCCTAGTTATATGCTTCAGTTATAGTGTCTGTTCAAAAACTCGGCCCCACTACCAAAAGAACACCTTCACTAATTTGACTTCACATAATAATAATCAAACGGGAAGAAAAAAGCTGTTTAACAGAATAATATTTCCAATAGTATGCTTTACATAGGTTCTAAGTCATTATCGTATGCTAAATCCAAAAAGACCCTTCTTGAAAAAAAGTTAAAAGAGATAAATACATAACTTTTCTGGACTCGGCAATGAGTAGATACCTGTAATAAGCCAGTATTAACTCCAATAACGTCCAAGGTTTTCCCATAAGATACATTGACCTGCTGTAGAAAACAACCCCCTTCTTCGTGTACTTTTGAGACTGTAGTGGTGTACCTGTGGATATTTACTATTGTAAACTACTAACTGAAGTAATATACAGAGAAAGGCAGCTACTGCAATATGCATATATATGTAAAGGAAAATTATTAGCAGAACACAATGCATCCAATTAAGAGCATATTACAAAAGGATGTCATACCAAGGGATTTTCAGTGAGGGGACGATCCGAGTAGCCTGTAAAGAATAGAATCTCCGTTAACAACAAAAACAAGGAAAACGAATCTAAGCAGAAAGAAAACAATTTTGAGTCTCTATGACCACTGTCCCCGGTGGAAAATCAATACACGATGTCCATTGTCTTAAAGCAACACCAATTACCAATTAACAATTCAATACTCTCCCACCAAATTAAGCTTTTATCATTTTTTTTATTACATTTTGATATTTTCGTATTTCAATTGCTCTCTATAGCAAAATCTAAAGTAGTTTTTTTCCGTGCTGAGAACAGGATGAGCTTACATTCTGAACTAGCGGATCATCTTCTCCAAACTCACCGACATTCACCACAAACCTTGCCTTATAGGTCTTTGCCACCTTCTCCAACTTATAGACAACAATTAAAATCAAATAATCCATAAATAAATAATGAGAGAGGAAACTATATGGAGAAAGAAGAGTTCTATGTGAGAAGAAGGATAGGAGTTCATGCTTATCTCGTAAGAATAAAAACTCAACCAAACTTGTATGTAAATAAATAGATTCTATTATGTCTCTAAATGTAAAAGTAAAAAACACCAAATCTCTCACTCAAAATGAATCCAAATGGGCCAACACTTCTTCTACTTTGTTAACCAATCCCAAAACAATTAAATTTTTGGTTCCTAAAGCCACTGAGGAGATGAAACTTTCCGAGTTTGTTATAGTCTAATAGAACAAAACTTTTACATCATTAAAAGTTTGAACAGAGAGAGAACTGAAAAGATCCAGAAAACCTTGTATCACACATAGTGGCATTCGAATACAAAAGTTGCTTTCGTTTCCCAACAAAAAGTAAAAGCAATACTCTTTCTGAAATCCATTCAGCAAACTTCAATCTTTGGTTGGCTAAAAGAAAGAACCTCACTCAAAAGCATTTGGGATTAAATTCCATTTTTTTTTTGTTCCCGAACTATGTCGAATCCCATATTAGTACCTGATTTTGAAAATATCTCAAAACAAGTTCCCGCAACTGCTAAATTGCCCAAAACAAACCTCCTTCTAAAAAGTTGTGCCTTTTCTCGTCGAGATTTTAACAGACGGTTGGACAAAATGACCGGAGCAATTTCGTAGATCGAGAACTTGTTCTAAGATATTTTAAAATTCAGGTATCAAAAATTAAATGGTCAACTACTTTGAGGACTAAAAATTAGATAAACCCGAGCCTATGACCCGTTCATTTCGTCGATTCGAGTTTAGAATTCGAGTTTTGTTACAGTAAAAAACTCTCAGAAACAATCACATCTAACTTTTTTATTATAGTAAAAAATTCTCATATAAAGTCACATCTCAACTCAAATTAAAAACTCGAATCAACGAACTGAACGGCCATTATGAGATTTACTCAAGCCATTCAACAAACAAGTAATGGGCATACGTGTAAGTCTACAGAGTGAAAACACAACCCAAGTTATATACATATTACGAAATAACCAACCTGTTTCAGAAGGTGGGTCTGTTGGTTGACAGGTCTGAAGCCTCCTCTGACACTTATGAAATGCAAATCCCGATGTCTACTCTCACTTGTGTTGATGTGCACAGACTTCTGCGGCTGGCCAAGTTTAAGAGCAAAGAAGAGAGCAAAGCAAAGAGCCAACTGAGCTACAAGAGTACGAACCCAATCCCATGGTTTCTCCATTTTTTTTCTAAAAGAAAGATATGGATCTTCACACCCTCATCTCAACTCATGGATACGTATAAACAGATCTATCTATCTTTCTTTCTTTCTTTCTTTTTTTTTGGTTGAAACACTTGTAATAAGTATCATTTTATGATGTGACCGTGTTTGGATAGATTATGGAAATTTCGGAAAGGCAAAAGAAGAACAAAAACGAAAAAACTATTTGATGTGATATAATAGCATTATTGATAAGCTTGCACATGATTTAATCGTTGTTGTCGTTGTAAAATGCCGAGGTTTGCTCACATGACGTGCAGACATGTTTTAACTCATTTTAAGTCGTACTTTTTCAGCCAATAACCTCCCATTGGAACGCCAATGCACATTTAACCCCGTGATATATATATATATATATATATATATATATATTTTTTTTTTTTCCCTTTCCATTTATTTTTCTTCAGGTTTTATATCAAAAGACCATATTATCCCTGTTTAAAATTCAGAACTGAAGAAGAAAAAACCCATCTTCTTATTCTTAAAAAAAAAAAAGAAGAAAGAGAAACCTCTTCAAACCAAAAAACCCTCCCTCCCTATTCTTCTTGGCCGGCGCCGCCCTTACCGCCGTTTAACTCCGGCGTCCATCTTCGTCGCACTCCGGCATTGTCTTTGGTGATTAAAAGAGATAAATCCTAAGATTATCAAACTCTAAAAGCTTGAAGATTCAAGCTCTAAGGTTGGTAAATTAATCTTAAAATCTATTCTTTTTTCTTTAAATAGTTGTTAGAATATTGGGATTTCATATTTATGTGTTTTAGTTGAAAAAACAATAAGATTCATCTTATTTTCATGTTTTCTCGACCTGGAAAATTGAAAATTTCAAAGAACAACGATAATGAACAGTAATGAGTAGACGGGAGGACCGATCAAACTGGTCTGAAATTTTTTAACTGATCTGAACGGTATTTTCAGTTTGCTCATTACTTGAATTCATGGTGATTTTTTGCCCGTTCACTTCGCTGATTCGAGTTTGTAATTTGAGTTGAGATGTGATTTTATGTAATAACTTTTTACTGTAGTAAAAAAATTAAATGTGACTGTTTTTAAGAGTTTTTTACTGTAACAAAACTTGAATTCTAAACTCAAATGGCAAAATGAACGGAATTTTTATTTATTTATAGTTTTTTTGTCGTTCTCTAATAGTAATATTTTTTGTTATCATCTTTATAGAAAATGGCTGAGATTGTCATACATTGTAAATATGATGGGGAATGGAATAAGAAAGAGGAAGACTTTTACAAATGGTGCTCGAGGAATAATGAAAGGAGGAGTCTGGTATTATTAGATGGTCCAAATAAAGTGAAATTTTGTGATATTCTTAACAACTTATTTGAAACGTTTCCTATGAATCGATTAAGTATAGATTTGAAAGTGAGTTATATTTCTCTTTCTTCGTCAATGTTGGAACCTGTATTTATCTTGGATGATTTTGATGCTAAGTAATATCTTTTGGATCGTTGTACTTATATAGAAACATAGAAGCATGTTATAAATGTGACTACGACTTTCATGAAAAATAGATTCGATCATTGATTTTGGATTTAGATTTCGTTATGATAATTTAATAAATTTGAGTGTTCAAGGCACTATTTATAAATTAGAAGATCGATTTCCTCACTGAATCGAAGAATGACACGATCGATCTTTCTGATCCGTCTAACTACGGTACACCTAATTTCTCGGTCTGAAAGAAATCATTGCGATGGAAAGTTATGTTTTATTTTAAATTTTGTGAATGATAATTCCATGAATTTATTAGCTAAGGTAATATTTTCACATCATTACTATTGGAACACTATAATTTCTATATTATCTATATTTTATTTGTCGATTTTTCTATTTTGGATATTTTTATGACTAAACATTTATTTCTTGAATATGTAATTTGATTCTTACATGTATTTCGTTGCAATCATTTTATTTGATCATTTAGGAGCTTAATCTTTCTTTTCAATTATTTTATTTTATCATTTAGGTGCTTAATCTTTCTTTTATGGTTAATGGCTTAATAGGTTGTCGTTAGTTTATTTTAAGAGTCACAACACAATTTCCTTTTTTTTTTTTTTTGTAATTCGTTAAAAAAATATACTGCTCAATTTAAATTTATTAAGAAATGACAATATGTTGACTACCAATCAAAATACTAAGAATGGTAGAACTTCTTTGAAATGAAAATATAATTTTAAGGATGATATATATGTTGATTTCAAAACAATTTTGGGTGCGGAAACGTAGAAATTCAGATCGAGTCTGAACAAAAATTTTTATAAAACTTTTGAGAATACTATAGAATATATTAATTTATAACGAATAAATTAATCTAATTAATTTAGAACTGGAATTATATTTAGCAACCAATTATGATGATATTTTAATTTCTTTGACCACGAACAAACCTAGTAGTCAGGTTTCTCATATCACCAAGAGACTTCCTCGTCAATTCCTTGATTCTATCAAGAATATGTGTGTGGGCATACCTGAAAATAGAGAAAACAGTTATCACTCTCTCACATGTCTTCTATAAACATCAACACATATACAACGTGAAACTGGGAATGAAAAAACTTTTTCTCTCCACAAAACCGGCCACTCTAAGCAAATAGGAGAGCACAAATTGTGTTTTCTAATTTTCTGCAAACTCTATTTATAGAACACTAGAGGAATTCCTTTCTTTAGCTTAAAGATAAAGTAACTAAATATAGAGATTAATTTTAAATCATATTTAAAATTAGATATATTCTCAGTTGACTTTTGGAACAATTTTCTCTCTCTTTTTATCCATATAGGGCTAGCCACTACAAGGATAATCGCCCCTGTGGTTGGCAATTTTTAGCAAATAAGGGAAGAAAAAAAAATATCTCATTTATCATGTAGTCCAATATGAACTCAGATTCAAATTCTAATTAAAGTCTAACTCCAATTTAATTTGAATTCCAATTAGATAACTTATCAAACAAGTAAACCGAGTAACTTGGAGAGCAAGCAACTGAATCTCATAGGGATTCTCCCTGCTATAGGCGTGTACCAGATGTGATCTCCATCACATCTGTTTTTCAAAATTCAATATTAAATAATCACATTATTTAATAAATAACTAATTCTAAATTCTTGTTTTACCCTTAGTATCTTGTAGAATTACAAGGACGATGCAGAGACTTATGGACATATAATATCAAGCTCTAATAAAATCAGTAATTAATCAAACTCTTTAATTAATTAATTAATCTTATTAATTATAAAGTTATTAAACTATAAACTTGGAATTGCCCTCTTAATGTTATAGACATTTACTTACATTTGTGGAACATCCATTTGATATAGTCACTTCATATAGATCAATCTTCCATAAATAATTTATAACTAGAGCTAGGTGAAATCCGTTAACCTCTGTATTTACATCTTTCTTCTTGAGTTCCATTGATTCTCTAATGAATTATATATTCATAAAATAAATTCATGAATATGCTCGTTACAAATTCAAGTACCGAACCAACACTTAAGGAAATTATATATCTACTTCTTTTTCAAGAAAGAATGGATTCTATCTTGTAATATTAGCATTCTCGGCTTCTTTTTTCATCATGTCTCCAAGATACAAGGAATAAGATTTAGTAATCTCGAAATCCATAAATAGGAGATTGCTAATAACTTAAGATTAAGATCATTTTATATATGACCATTGGTAGACCCAATTAGAATTTCTATACTTAACAAAAATTATCAGAAATTCATACTGTGTTTTATCCCAGTTCTGCATAATCTCATTATGTAAAATATACTCATTCGATATCTCTCCATATCAATGATGTAGATAAGTTCCTTTCATTCTTAATGGGAATGATACGTATTTATAATGTTTTAATTAAAGATTATGAACTTTAATTAAATTCATTACGGACTTTTTTCGATTATCATCCTTAAATATTATCATCTTGTATATAACACTTATATACCATATCTAAGGTCACATAAATAATCATGAAATTTTCAATTGTATCCATAAAGTATATATTACAATACATGCACATAAATCATGAAATTTATATTCTAACAAATAACAAAATCTAAAATTACATCTAATGCTTTAAGGACACCATTCCCAATAATATATTGATAAATTGAGTTGTTATTGTCGCGCCCCCAAACCGGGGTTAGTGACGTGGAGACTCGTTTAGAAACTTAAACCTGTTTGAGAGAGTGATTAGTAAATATTTTAATTTCTTTCAAATCTAAAACATCCAGGTATTTCCAAACGAGCCCTCTTATTTTTTTTTCAAGAGGAATTCAATTCCAAGAAGGGTGGTGGAATTTCCAACCAAACCAGTTTAAAACCACGTCCCTGGTATCAAGTCAGGAATTCCCACATGTGTTTAGCATACATGAATATAAACAAAAGTAAATGTGACATCAACCACAGTCTAGTAATATTTAAGTTTACAATCCATAATCTTTTATACATGCCTTGAAATAAAAGATAAGAGGAAAGACAACTCTTCACTTTCCGAGGTCAAGTCCACGTCACCGGTAGTAGCTACCTACTCCGCACTACTTCTCGCGTCGCCTGGAGGGGTTTAATACATTTGAAAACAAGAAAGGTGAGCGAAATGGCCAGTAGGATATAATTTTATAAAGCATTTAAAATAAAAGGTACTCACGGTTTGAAGATATACACCCGGAACCGGTCATCCCTTTTTAGAAAAGGAAATACTCACATAGAAAATATCTGTATAATGAAAGTGTGCAGCTCATCATACCACTAAACAAGAAGCGGTAAAAATGTCTGTCTAGAGAAAAGAAAACGAAGGGGCGCGATCCAAAGGCTCACATTCGTCATTTCAAAATAAGGCCCCACGTCAACATAGGGAAGTGACCAACGCGACGGTTGTGTTCCTCAAGAAAATCCGAAGCATCCAGACCATTATTGCGGACGAAGGCTCGGGACCGGTTTCCCACACCTGAAGCACGGAAGAACAACTGAACCTACGCTTGTGGCTGTCTAAAAGAAACCCTCGACCTGAGGGGTAGCTGTTGTAGGGGAAAATGTGGAAGACGCGTGGAAGAATGACAATA